TATTTAATTTTATAATAAAAAAATACTACTCATCGCCAATTAAAAAAAAATCATAATCCTAATAAAAGAAATTGGCTAAAGTTTTAAATTAAGGTATTGAATAGAATTACTAAAACTAAGAATGCAAAACTAACATTAATTGCCAAACTAATTAAATTCTAAGTTCAAATAAAAAAATAATTTTATCAATTACTAAATCGTAAATTTTTACTTACCGGGTAGAAAAAAACAATATTTAAATGAACCTACTTTTGTTTAACGAGAATATTTTAATTAAAGCATATTTTCTTATTTGTTGCAGGTTATCTACGTAAATTTAAAACTTATAACACATTATATTAAAATATTTAAATAACTGTCTTTCAAATTTTAGTATTTTTAAGAAAAAAAATACCCAAAAATATTTTTGTACCCAAGCCCATTAGGAACTAGGTAGGCGCTGGGTATAAAGACACGGAATATTAAAAAAATCATATCTCTCTTTAAAAAAAATTAACCCCTACCAAAATTTAGGTAACTGTAGAAAAAGGTTTGCTTCTTCACATATAAAAAAATAAAAAAAATAAAAAGGGGTGTTTTTGTTTAAAACTATATATTTTAATGAAAAATTATTTAAATTTAAAAAAGGTATAATAATTAAAAAGTATAATCTTTTTTCTTTAAAATAAGACGTCAACCAACCCTCTTGGTCAATTAGGACCCAAGATATAAGCAAAACAACCCAAACAGCACCCAGACGTCCACTGGATATCCTTAGGACGTCAACTCAGGACATAGAGGACGTCCTACGGATATCCGAAGACCACGAATGGACGTCCGTAGGACTTCCAAAGTAGACACTTTTGGTTGGCCTTTGGCCGTCCTATTATGGTCTATTAAAGACCGTCCTAGGATCAAATGTGGCCATAATTTGGCTGACAGAAATAAAAAATAAAACACCTACAATTTTTAACTAAACATTTTTATTCACCTAACTACAGCACAAATGTTTGTGGTACAGTCTATTAGTCAAGACAAACCTAATTAAATTACAAACTTGAATTTATTCTCGATTTTATTATACGTCTGGGTACAACCAACTTCTAAGAAAATTTCTATGAAGTCGTTGGCAAAGACAAAACATGAACACGATCTTCAAGCTGCTTATGTTAACATACAATTGTTGTTTATAAAAAGAAAATTATTAATAAAGCACGAAACAGCACTAATTGCACTTAAATACATTCTTTACCTCTTGAAAATTCCGATAAATTCCAAAGAGCAGAGAAGAAATACCACCGGCGTATATGGTAGAAAAAGAACGCCATTGGCAACGGATTATGGGAAACGTCGTCACGAACCCGTTCGGTTCTACCCGAAGAAGACCGATGTTTTTAATTTCAAAACTATACGTTAACGTATAGGTATTATCAGGGCCGGCTCATACACATTTGACGCCCTAGTCTAAAAGAGTTTTTCAAAGTTTTTTACTATACTCGCTTTTATATTAGCATAAGCTAATATAAAAGCGAGTATAGTAAAAAACTTTGAAAAACTACCCATATGGGAGACAAATAATAAAAGCGAAGTCTTATGCTGTTACGATTTATGTTAATAGAAATTTAGCATTAAAATTTTATTATTATAATAGTATTTTTTTAATGTTTTCATGGCGTTCCCAAGCATTTTTAGAAACAAAAAAAAATATTATGTTACAGCTTACGACATGACTGAAAAGTGAAACACTTTGTACATAAACAAATATATTAAAATTATAGCTTACAAGTTTTCATCTTAAGCCTATCGATTTTTAGTAAAATATCATATTCCAATAATAAGAATATGCCAATGAACAAATTATGAACTAAATATATATTGGAAACTGAAGACATAGAGTTTTCGACCAACGAGAGAAAATCATCAAAAGTTTCGTATGTGACGCTTCCTCTGATTTTTTACTTTTACTGATTGATACCCGTTTTTCTTTCGAATTTAGTTTCGTTTTGCCGCTTCTCATGCTCTGCCGCCCGGGTGCTTTGAACCCGCTGCACCTGGGTTTAGCCGGCCCTGGGTATTATAATTATAATACCGGTGTTTATATAGGTACATTTAAATAATTTAAACGATTGAAGAACGAATAGATATTATAAACCATATTTAATAATAATCTTCTGTTTTTTGTAAATGAATCTTTCTTATAATAAGGCTTATCGATTTGTTTGTCTTTCTGTGACCCCCTCAGGCTGTCCCACGAACATCCAAAGAATGCAAAAGAGTTACCTCATAAAAATAGGTGCTTTATATAATTCGTACTTTCATGATATTTCTCACAATTTATTACATATCCGAAAATTCCTTGACCTAAAAGTTTAGGCATGATAGCCAACCCACATAGTAGTGATGTCCCAGACCTGTTCGGCCTGGCTAAGCCGAGAATAACCTAAATAGGATAATGTTGATATGTCGTTATTATTAACTGGGCCGATTTGCTTAGTTTTTTATGTACCTAACTAATAATTTTTTTTTTTTTTTAATAATCTTTTTTATTTAACCTTAATTTTAGTTACTAAAATATTCATTAACTACTTGATTAATTGTGGAGCACACATGCAAAAACCGATAAGTTCATTTTTACATTTTAAGAGTATTTATACTAATTTTTGTAAACTCTTTTAACTTAGCACAGCTTTTTAAGGAAAAACGAATACAGAGACAACCCAACAGGAGCAACATTCCCTTTTAATAGTTTTTAAATATTTGGGGGACTCGGCTGTACACATTTTTGGCCAATATTTTAGAGTAGGTTAAAATGAATTTATCGGCTTTTGCATGTTTGCTCCATAATTATCCTTGGTAAATAAGTATTAATAAGCGTAAGTATTTAGTTAATATAAATAACAAACAACAAAAAACAACTGCTTAATTTATCAAGTAAAAAAATTATAAAAAATTACCATAGATTTGACAAACAACTTTATTTAAACCCAATATCAGTTTAATTATTTTAATTAAGCTAAAGTATATACTGATAAAATATTTAATAAATCTATGTGTCTTGTTTAATAAATCTAAGTTTCTTGTTTAATAAATCTAAGTGTCTTGTTTAATAAATCTAAGGTTTTATGCTTAATGTATTATATAAGTATTTTCCTAAAAACGTATATAATAAGTTTAATAAGAACAATTAAACGTTTCAGGAATATTTTTATTCTTAAATGTATTAAACGGTTTAATTGTCCCATATGGTATTAAGATTCTTATTTAAATGAATTAAAATTTTAATTAATTTAATTATTTCTTTCTCTCAGTGTGCTCAGTAATAGCTATAGTCGAGTGTGTTAAAATATAGCATATACCTATCCGGGACGTCTGTAGTCTTTTTTGAATTGCCAGACTGTTGTGGCCGGCACTCGGCCAACTATACACCGCCGACACTCGGCCGAGTAAACATAGCCGACATTTGGCCAGGCGGACATGCCCGGTCTACACGCCGGAACAAATACCGCACGCGGCCGATTCGGCAAAACGTATTCGGGCCGTATGCGGGCCGGCTAGCTTGTGCTTACTGGGACTCCCAGTCTGGGAGTCCATCTAGCCACAGTCACTAAATTGTATAATTACATCACATGATAAATCAAGCCGTTTTGGAGAAAATTGACAAAACGTATAAATAACGTTGCCAAATTTTAACAAAATCTTGAAGACTAAGTATGTATTTCTGAACATACTTTATAGGAACTTTTTTTCTTATTTTTGGATCAAGAATCTTCTGCCGAGCATTGACGCGTGTTATTTGAAACACCCTGTATATTTATTATATATAATGAAGTACGAAATGCGCGGTCTTTGGAAAAACTCGTAGCGCGCCCTAGGCTTTGAAATCCAAAAACAAAGAGATCAATGCAGAAACACAATTTTAAAAGGAGGTTATTTGCTTATCAAACTCATAACTATAGTTTTTCCCAAATGGTGCAAATATAAGTTTGATAAGTAAGTGTTAAAAATAGTACATTATAGACTAGGCCGAAAATGTATATTATCGCCGAACACAAATTTTAGATTGTGTACGAGGCAATTAATAAGCTTTCGCTGCCGGGAATTAAATACTATTTTTTTCAAGCATTTAATTAAATAATTTTTTAAGATTCTGTCACATCATTTTTAGGATAACTGACATGATGACATTTAATCTTTATTTATGTACAAAGTTTATTAATAATTTGACTTTTGAACTAAAATAAATATAAAGACTTATGAGTCTTATAATATAATAGTATATTAAAGTACAAGTTGCAGAAGGCCACATATTCTCGCACGAATTCGAAATTTGGCCTCGAGCGACGAAGGAGCGAGTGGACGAACGAATGAGTGCGAGAATAGCCTTCTGCAACGTGTGATTTATACTATTTTCTCGATTTTAACTTTTATTTAGGTTTTTTTAATTGTTTTGTGGTCGTTGTTAGTTAGGGGATTTTTCTCGCAAAATGTCAGTTGGCAACACAAAATGACAATATTTGTTATCCTGCACAAGTACAACCTGAACTGCACTTTTACACATTAAACTTAAAATTTTGCATTAAAATGCATTGTTGGAGCAAACTTTATATTACAAAACAATAATAAAGGCTTCATTTTCAATAAAAGTAATGAATTTGAGGTTATTAATCAGTTTGACATTTTGGGGGTACCAATACTTAAAAACTAAATGTTACCAAAAATCGTTTAAGAATGAGCTTCATTCTTCAACGATTTTGCGTGCGAGAATATGACATTCTTACATAAAAATCGAGAAAAATTATTGTACGCTTAAAGAAATTATCATAAAAACTCAATTTATACTGAAGTTAAGTTTTTAAACTTCAGTATAAATTGAGTTTTTATGATTAAATATTTTTATTTTGGCTATGCGTTTAATCCTTTAGATTTTTTAACTTGACTACTTTTACACAATGTTGAAGATAAAATTCATACATATTATTTTTGAACAAACGCTATTTTAAATATAAGATATTTATTTCAAGGAGCTCCAACAATATCCACACAGCAATTAAAAGATACTGAAGATGTAATTAATGAAATAATCAGGAATGGCAACAAGGTAACTGTACAGATTTTTAATGAAGATACTCCAGAAGAAGACTTAAAAGAGGTAAACATTAAAAATAATATTATATTTGTACTTTATTAACATTCAAATGTTGTAAAATAAACTAACATAAATGGGAAGCAAAAAAAATAAACTTCCAAAACTGTAAAAAATTTAATAATAATCCCTTTTAGATGCCCAAGATTTTTAAACCTAAAGTATTCACTTTTAATGTATTTTAGGGTGTCCGATATTTTCCAAATTGTCTTTTTTTACTTTGGTATCATCTAAATTACACAGTGCAAGAATTTTTGGGCAATCGCTTTCAGCCCAAATAGTTCGCATTCTTTGTGGCCAATTTTTTACTGTTTGCGACTTTTAAGACTTCCAAGTCGCAAACAGTAATGTAAGTCCATAAAATAAATGAATTATTAAATTAAACAAGTTGAATTATGTATTGTATCGTATAGTAAAACAAAATATGGTCAATCCCGATTAGTGGCGGATCAAAATTTAATATTTATTTATATTATTATTAAGTAATTATCTAAAAAAAGTGAAGATATTTTTTATCTGCTCCTGATCCTGACATAAACAGGGCCGTAACTTTAGGAAACAATTCCTTACGGTATTTTACAAAAAATCTCATACATTTTTTTCATTTTTCCTGAATTCGGTTTTTAAGAGTAGGAGACGCCGAGACTCTCGGCCGGAGAGACGGGTTTTGTAATTCAGTAGTATAGTCTTCACCGGCGTTGGGTGATGGTCGAAGTTTGCTCTGAATTATTAATACGAATTATGCATTATAAAGTTAATTTACTTTTAAAAATTATTCAGATACTTTTTTTTTCTTTGGCCGGCGGAGAAATTCTTTACGAACACTCGGTTCCCCTTGGGGCCCCGAGTAGTGTGGGACCGTCTATTGACCTATACCCACTAAAACTCCCCCGTTAGGTGGTTCAAAGCCCTGCACTGCGGTTTGCTTTCGCAATCCTATTGTGCACTAAATAGTATTAATTCCATAGCTCTAGCTCCGTCGCTTCTATGAAGCGCAGTAGCCGAGGCAGTGGGAGCAATGTTAAAAGTTCTGGTGTGAGTTTAGACTCTCCCAGGTGTGTTCTTCTTAAGGTGTTGAACCCCTCACATTGACACATAATGTGAAGAGGTGTTTCCTCTTCTTCTTCGCATCCTCTACACAAGGGGTCATCTGTCATCCCCATTTTGTGAAGATGTTTTTGAATGGAGCATGGCCTGTGAGAAGGCCTAATGCTTTCTTTAGTTGGGTCCTGGTATATGTCCTCATTGGTTTCTGCCCTTCAGCAGATGGATTGTCCAAAAGTGCTTTCGAATGCTCCAGACCAGACAGGCTTTCCCAGTATTGTTTGTGTTGTAGTTCTGTCCAGTCAATTAGTTTTTTCGTGGACGATTCTTGGCTGGTGCCGCATGTGGGTTCCGGCTTCATCAGCTGCGAAGTTTGGCTTCCACCTCATCGAACTGTTTCTGCCTTCTTGCACAAGGATAAGAGTTATCTGGTTTTATGCTTTGGTTAATGCCGTCATATCTCTCAGACATTCTAGTACGGCCTTCGAATTGATTTCAAATGCCTCCAGTGCCTGGATTGGTTCTGGTTCGTGTGTATTATAATGATGGTGAGTAACTTCTCCGTGGCATTGCTCTCCCTCATTCGTTGGAAACCCAATTGTATGGCAATGATGCCCGCTTGAAGATCGGTTATCTCTTTTCCCAGGTTTAGTATTTCTTGACTGCCCTGTTGATATACCTCTTTTATGCCCGCAGAAACACCGGTCTTTGAACGTTTGTGTTCTACGTACCAGATTAGGTTTTCTTCTTGCCTGAGTCGGGCAATTTGGTTGTTTATCTCCTCAGCCTTTATCCTTTTTGAGATAAAAGCTTTAGTGATGTGTTTGACCTTGGCTTTGTCTGTTCTAATGGCTAGACTGCCAGTATTTTCTAGCTCTTCAAATATTGCATTATGTCTGATGTTGGAAATAACTTCGGCCTTATTTGAGATTAGCCTTTGGGCTCCCTCTAACGCTTTAATCTGAATGTGTAGAGGGGGGAGTCCTAGTATGTTTTCCATGGCTGCGGTCTGTGTAGTTGTCATTGCACCAGTTATTCCCAAGCACGCCAGTCTTTGGATTCTCCTGAGTATCTGTTTTACAGTCCTTGTTCGTGTTGCGTGCCACCATATTAGCGCCGCGTAGGTAATTATGGGTCTGACCATAGCTGTGTACACCCATTGTACCATGCCTGGTGACAGTCCCCAAGATTTACCAAATGTTCTTTTACTGGTCATGAAGGTTTTTATGGCCCTATTTGTTATGTTTTCTATATGCATCCGATAGGTGAGTTTTTTATCCAGTTTAACTCCTAGATATTTAACCTCGTCTTTCAAGGGCAGCGTTTCCCGTAGAAGAATAGATACTTAAAATGTAACGTAATCACTTTTAACAGTAAATTATTAGTTGTATTAGGTGTAAAATCATGTTTTGCATTTAACCAAAAGTGTTTTCTTATACAAAAAAACGTTTAAGCTTAAACAATTTACTTTAAAAACTAAAATAAAAAAATAAAATTATTGTCTTGAAAACAAATTAAAATATATAAATCAATTTTCTTAAAACAAAACTAAAAATCAAACTTCTTAAAATAAATGTAAATAAATTAATTAAAAACTATTTTTATTGTTCTAATTGGCAGAATAGAACGATCCGGATATTTAACTGAGAATAGGTCTCTTCTTTGACGTAGACAATTGCCCACATTTTTTTCTTGCAATTTGTAGGACATATAACTTTTTCACTAATTTTAAATAAGATAAATTAATTTATTTTAAAACGCTCGAAATACACACTAGCAAATGCAAAATATGACTGAATCGTCGCCTACGCCGCTTACAATGGGGCGATCGGGTTAACTCAAGTGTATATATTTCAAATGAAAATGCGGTACCTATATGAGCTATAATATAATATTGTAACAAAGTTACTTTTCAACAAACAAAGTCATCACCGTGAAAACCCGTCCGGTATAAGGCCAAGTTCCGTTTGTAAAAGCCGTCGAAACGCCCTGTATAACTATGTTATTTATCAAAATTGCGCATTGCACCACGATTCCAAGAAAGTAAAGACTAAAAACGCGACAACCGTCTGGAAAATAAAGGCGAGCTCTTTTAACGGTATTGGCTAACGATTTGATCATAGACACTCGCGCACTTCATGCATACCTACGTGGCCACGCGTGGGGGAGACGGCGCCTATGTAACCAAATTCAAGCATGGCAAAAAGAACTTTAAAAGCAGAGATAAGGGAGAGAGACGATTCTTTGAATAGGAATTTCGGCCAACAATTTACATGCGCAGAGCTGCACACAGATTTCAATGTAATCGGTTTCTACGCATTTGTTAACAGCATTGCACTGAAAAGGCGCAATTATGTCCTTTACTGTCATTTACTGTCGTCTGTTGGTCTGCTGTCAGTAAATACTAAATAAACTGCGCACCACTCAATGTGTCGCGACCAAAAAGTTCGTTCTTTTTCAAAACGGTATAACTTTTTTGTTTCTTGAACGATTTTATTTTGGTCTGTGATGTCTGCTAACCCCGTCCTCTGGCAAATCATGCTATAGATATTATGCCCACGGTTCTTCAAGTAAATTTCCTACATGGTGATATGTAAAACGGTGAAAAATTTCAATAACTTCATCCAAGCCCCGTTTGAAAAAAGAAATATTTTTTCTCGTTTTTACTTTGAAATAATGAAGAATGATGTCTTACCTTGAAAAGGGTTTCAAATTTTTCGAATTGGAATCTTAGAACGAAAATCTGATTTTTTTTACAAAAGAGTACATTTAAGGCTTTTTGGTAGGCAACACACTCAGTCTTTTTAAGAACAAGAAAATAAGATGGGGAAAGATTGTTTCTTGAATAATTCTGAACAAGCGACAAGCAACAAACTTCCATTATTTTTAAAGGGGCCTATAAGTAAAGACCACTTTTTCAAAATGACATTTTGGTAAAAATTTGCGAAAACTAAACCTGAACCGATATTTACGTTCGTGACATGTTTTCTTTATAATTTTGACCTCCTGATTGTGATTCAGTTGTCAAATTTAAGTTTCAGATAAAACCAAAATCACCAAGAATCAAAATTCGAAAACAATTCCCGGCTGTTAAATGTCTAATAAAATCCGAAAAAAAATCATATCGTCGTTGCTAAGATTCCAATTTGAAAAACTTGAAAAACAATTCAAGGTAACACATAATAGCTACCTACTTCATTATAATGAAATATATTTCAAAATAAAAACGAGAAAAAAATTATTTTTTTACAAACGGGGCTTGGATGAAGTTATTGAAATTTTTCACCATTTAACATATCACTCTGTATGAAATTTACTTGACGAACCGTAAACTTCATATCTATATCATAAATTGACAGAGGATGAGGCTAGCAGACATCACAGACCAAAATAAAATCGTTTAAGAAACAAAAAAATTATGTCGTGTTGAAAAAGAACAAACTTTTTGGTCGCGACACATTGAGTGGTGCGCAGTTTAGTTCTTATACCTTGTTATTTAGCAGATTATCAATTGTTGTAAAATGACATTATTTAAGGTCAAAGCACAATCCATTGTGGATTGTGGGTCAAAGTAAGTAAATTAAAATATGTATGTGTGATAAAATTATTGTTCTCTACGACTACTTAAGAATAGTAACATTCTAGTGTAATTTTTGATCATAGAAAGGATGTTTTTCTGCAATACTGTGCGAGAATATTCCTACTCTTGTTTAAGAATGGTCAAAAGTAACGACATCTCCCGGCTGTTTACTAAACGTAAAAAATTTAAAAATATTTAAATATAACTGTATTATTTATTAATTAAAAAATAATAGCAGTTGTATAATTAAGGTTTAGGCACAAAAAATTTGTTATATTTATTGTTTTTCAAATATACAAATCAAAATTATAATAAATTTAATATTAAAATGATAAACCAGTTACCTACTATACCGGCTTTGAAGTTTTGACAGATTCAAGAA